CGAATGCCTCACAAATGCTTCAGCAATTAATGGACTGGAAGGACTTGGAACCGCTCTGGATTATAAAAACTCGATTAGACCCAGTCTTAAGAAGGTTAATTTCTCTTTTTTGGATGTCTTTAATACAAAGAGAGTTATACAGAAAATACAATGATGTGATTATAGTAGACAGTACTTACAATACCAACCAGTTTCAAATGATGCTGTGTATCATAACTGTAATTGATAATAACTACAAAACTAGAATCGTGGCATGTGCAATCATCGAAGATGAAACATTGGATACTTATCGTTGGATATTTAATAATTTACTTACTGAAACAGGTATTTCTCCTAGAATTGTTTTTACTGATTCTGATCCTTCTATGATCAGATCAATCAAAGATATTTATCTGAATGCCCAGTATTTATTGTGCATTTTTCACATAGATTTAAATCTTTGAAAAAAGCTAAAAGGAAAATTAGGAAATAAGTTTGAGGAGTTCCGTCATAATTTTTATATATGTCGAAATTCTCTTTGTAAGGAGCTATTTGAACGTCGATGGAATCAGTTAGTTGAACAATATCCAGCAGCAGTGAAATATTTGTCTAACACCCTTTATAACATAAAGGATTCATGGGCAGTACCTTGGATCTATAAATGGTTTATAGCTGGTGTACAAAGTATATAGCGAGTTGAATCAAAAAATAGACACATTCATGAAAAAGTAGATTGTGCTACATCATTATGTAATTTGTTAATCAGTATTAAGGATCATGTTAAGAACGAAGAATATCTGAAAAAATTTGAAGTAGAACGAAATGCCTTACCTATGATAGGCATGCCAATGCTGAATACAAGATTCTTTGGTCAAGTGGATGCTATTATTAAAGAATTTTTAACTCCCGTTATGCTTGGAAAACAAAGATCACAAATGAACCAATCTGTGTGTTATGATGTTAATAGAATTGCAGAATGGCTTCATTTGACAAGTATGAGTAAAGAAAGTAATATGCTATATATGACTTGTTTCAATTTTTCGAGTTGAAAAATTGAAATGATATTGAGTATGAACTATATTATTTTTTTCTTTAACTAGCTCTTACTAAATGTTATAGGTAGAAATTGACGAAGAGGAAATGAGCATCAGAATTAGAGAACAGGATCCGAATACACAACAGATACTTTTAAGTCTTTGATCAGAAATATACCACAAGAAGCAATTATAGAAGTGTGGAATATATGTGCAACTAGAACCCAAGAAATAGGACACTATATAGTCTTGTTAAATGAAGGTACACATCTTTGCACCTGACTTCTCTTAATCAATAAAAGGATAGTTTGTCATCATTTCTTCCGTGTTGGCACCTATTCAAGACTTGCTGTTTTTCATATAAGCATGATCTCGAATCACTGGTATCTGAATTCCGATGTTAACCTGAATAATCTACAAAAGTATTCTTTTATCCCGATGTGTGATACCATGCAATTGGACGATAATATGCTTTTCTAAAATAGTACTAGTCTTCAATACATGTTTTCTATGCGAACTGATTCACATAGCACTCAATCATCTGTAAAATCAACTAAAGTTATGTATGCAGAACTATCCGGGTTATCAAAGAAAGCAATTGACTACGCCATTAAAATGGATATGCAGCATAGATTATTAAATACTCTCAAAACTTTTATTTATGACATACAGAACAAAGTAGATGAAGCAGAGGCAGAAAACTTAACC